GGAGAGATGTTGTTAAATTGCGAGTCTTATAATATTAATGCACAAGGCTTAGCTTAACTATACGTATAATTATAGCTTATATGGTTAGGTTATGTGGCTAATAGTAGCTTGTTTGGTGCTGGTTTGATGCTGCCTGTCTGCTGGTCTGTTTACATGATGCTAGGACAAGCTGCTTGAGTTGGACTGCTCAAATGGGCTGAATTCGACTTGGCTAGACTTAGCTTAGTGAACTGAATGTACAAGTGAATGGCGGATGGAATGGGATGTTTGCTTGCCGATTGTTAGCACCTAGTACCTAATGCCGCCTAGTTGGCTAGCGTTCGATGGCCAGCTAGGGCCGATCAGCAGGCATGGAAGCAGCAGTAGCAGCAGCAGGAGGCAGGAGACAGCAGCCGCCTGCATGAGCACTTACTTGTCAAGCTTGTTGTGACAGCCAAAAGAGCGAATAAACACGAAGGAATTAATCGATGAATGATGATTCGTAAATGCATGGCAATGACGGTGATAAATGTTTTATTGTTACAATTGCAATTGATTTTGTCAATTTTATTTGCTATTATTATTACTATTACTATTCATATTATTGATATAATTCAAGCAAGAGCAGATTGGAAGCACGGTGGAGTGGCAGCCGTAAGTACAACGACGCAAAACCAGTTAGGTAAATTTGATTGGAGTTGATCACATGAAAGTATTGATAAAGGGCAGACTAGTCGATCATGCAAACAAACGGATTATGCTTGGTAATGAGCATGGATTATGCATAAGAGTAAGAAGGATGGATGTTGGGGATTGGAAAGGAGATATTTATTGGACGAAGGTGAAGGGGCTGGGACAATTAACAGCGATAATTATCGTTGAGGGTTTGGCTGAGTGAGTAAAAATGAGAATATACGATGCGATTGTTGATGCGATCGATTCTTGGATGAAGATGTTTTCAGGTAATTAGAAGGAACAAATGAGGGACAGGTAGGTTCATGAAAAGGCTTAGGCCTAGGCTGGTGGTTATATTGGGCAATAAGCATTGTCAAGGTATGATGATGAATCAGGCAGACTAAATATGCATGCACCAGATCAGTTTGTGCGTCGGTCGATTCATTCATGAATTTATTTATCCATTATGCTTACTACCTATCTATAGTGCTAGTAATCCATCGATCTGCTGTGTATCGGCTAGATAAGCTAGCAGCCAAGCGAACGATGAGCAGCAGTGAGTGGCCAAGAGGAAGGATGTGGCCATTGGATATTGGATGCGGGTGGTGGTTAAGCAATAAAGGGTAATGCGAATGAAGAAATGAGCCAAAATAAAAGTACAATAATAAGAGAGAGAATTGACTGAGTGAATAATGATCGAGCGTTCGTTGAATTGACGAGCTGAGCTAACAGGAGAGCAGTTCGGTCAATTAAGCACGAATACTAGTGGCAGCAAATCTAGGCCAGATCAGGCCAGGCCAGGCCAGGGCAGGGCAGGGCAGGCCAGGCAAAGTGGATGATGGCCCATCCTCATTCATTATCTAATCAACGACAGCACCACCAGCAACAACAATGAAGTAGTGAACGAAACACTAGTTGTATTTATATATGGTTGTTGGTGTGGTTTGGTTTGGTTGGGTTGTTGAATCGTTCAGCTCATTTCAATGAAACAACACTCAAACGGTGGAATCTGCCTGCAAAGAAGGCAACGGATGAGGTTTCGTGGTTGTTTTAGAGGTATATATTTGGTGTTGTTAGAAACGTTTGATAGCCTGGCAGGTAATCCAGGTAATATTTGAGAATGAGGTTTATTTCAATGGTTGGTGCTAATGGAACTGGCAAGGAATGCGGTTGGTTATATTTTACCAACTCGACAGTGCAATTTTAACTGAACGACCGTAAATTTTCAGTTCTTTTCAAGTGTCAACGATTCAAGAAGAATTTATTGTGGCTGCTACTGCTCACTACGAGCGTAAGCAGTGTGGTGGTGTGGTTGATTTTAACGATTGTGGTTAATTGTGAGATGAAGACGGAATCGAATTCGAGTGTGATCGCAGCCGAATGTTTGTGTGTTTTCGATAGTATCGAATACGATTTTTGCTATCATCTGCCAGAGAATCGAACCATTAAAGGAATACGTTTCAATTGCTCAATTGCGCCGATTCTTTATCAGCTTAATCTTTTGCTTAGCGATGGTTAGCACATACTTATGCTCATTTTGCATGTTTATCCATCTGAAATTATCATTACTATTATCGTTATTATCATTGTTATTGTTATTGTTATTATTATTGTTATTATTATTGTTATTGTTATTATTATTATTGTTATTATTATTATTATTATTGTACTGAATAGCTATGATAGGAATAGCAGGCATCTGATAGAATGTTTGAATATAGGCAAACGAAAAAATGTATCTGATAGAAAGAAGAATTGGAACGGATATTTGGAATTAAATTCAAAGTTAGAGATAACAGATGCTGTAATAGTAACTGCTTGTACAGAGGATCATTGGGCCGAGACTAAGCGACTGGTTAGTGGCATGGATTGTTATTGTGATTATTATTGCTGTTGTTATTGATAGAGTTGATAGCATCAAGAAAAGTATTTTGTATGAGGCATATTATGCTTAGGAGAGATATGAAAGGGATTGAAATAGTTTTTGGATATTGAGATTTGACTGTGACAGATATTATGGATATTGGATGGTGATTTTGAGTGATTGAATTGGTCACTTACTCGTTTAGAGCGTCTTCTGAGATAAACTTTATGAAATGACTGAGTAAGTAAGTTAGAAAAAGTAATGACAGCTTTATTATCTTTAAAAAAGGTTGTTATATCAAGTGGATATAGTAATGGTAATCAAAAAAAGGGTTTTATTGGTTGCAGATCGCAAGTATACGACAGTATTGGCCTGCATCATCGAAACGAATTATTGTTTATGATCTGGGATTGGCCAGTGGAACTGTGGAATTTATTAGGAATATAACAAGCGTTAGAAAGTCGTCTGGTGATGAGATTTTTGAGGATTAATTTGATATGAAAAGGGTTGATATGGTGACAATTTAAAATTACTTTGCAGGAATTTTGGAGAGTGGTGATAATAATAATAATAATAACAATAGTAATGGTAATGAAGGTATCGATAGAAAGTATGATAATAATAACGATAATTATCACAACTGTAATGGAGTATTGTGCGGCGATTGGAATTTAGAGTATCGATTGTTTGATTGGGAAAAATATCCGAAATTTGTGAAGAAAAAAATGGGTGATTTTAGATGGAAACCATTAATAATTGCGGTGAGTGGTTAGTTGGTATTATAATTCGTTGTTTTTATTGTGAAATGAGATAGAATTTGTTAATGAGAGTTGTGTTTGAATTGCGATTCGATTCGATTCCATATGGACTGACTGATAGTGATGGACGGATGGAATGTGAAGAAGATCTTCGATCTCACTTGGATTCAAATCAATCCATCCGATTCAAATGAAATTTCACTGAAAATTCTGACAATAGCTAGGAATTTCGAGTAGAATTTGCCGCAGTTTGGCGAACGAGCGAATTTGCGTGGAGCGATCAGATGAAATTACCGATATGAAATGAGATAGGAATTAGGGAAGGATCTCGGATGATTGCGTTCATTAGTTATTTGCAATTTAATTTGGATATGAGTCTAGATTTGTAGAAGACTTAGGTGAGGGTTTTTTGGTGGTGAGTGTTAGATTGGATGAGAAGATGGAAGTAAATTGAAGAGAAGAGAATCTGATAGTGAATTTTGCTTTATTGTTTGCGTTGTAATTTTTTTGGTTGAATTTGTAGGAAATGTTAAAAGAATATCAGGCGATTTGGTATGTGGACAGTAGTGTTATCTTCAAAAATAACCATTCGAATGGTGTTATGGAGCGCTTATTGAAGTGTTATTCTGAAATGAGGCTTGAAACGGAGAGTGTTGACGACTCTAAAGCAAATATTGTGTTCACAAAGCAAAATAGTGATGCAACTGATGATCTATCGCAGCAGCAGCAGAAATCTAGGATAAGAAGTAATGGTGAATGCTTGATATCAACCTACCTGTTACATGCATATACTGGACATGGAATTTATGCGGCAACTGACCCTGGTGAGTAGAGACATTAATTAATTTATGTTAATTAATTAATCAATTAACATAAATTAATAAAATAATTTATTATGTTTGCACCTTATATGAGGAGTATAGCGCAGTGTCATTAATGCTTTCTAGAAGAGTTTCTTATGATTGGTGGTGAAATGGGTGTTGTGTTGTGTTCATGGATGTGTAAATATATTGTATTTACAGTGTTTAACAAGTAGTAATTTGGTTGAATTGTTTAGAAACATATCGTTTCATACCGACAAATTTGGAGAAATTAAAGAAACCAACAGCGAAAATGTATGAAGCGGGACTGGCACTGGTTTTGCGTACTACGGGCACAATGGAGAGTGTTCTGAGATGGTGATTAGTTAGTTGATTGATTGGTTTTTTTTTTGTTGAATGAACAGATAGAGTTGATTTAACAGTGAATGCATGGATCGATCACAATAATAGAAGCCGATATTGGCGATCAATCGGTCGTCGAATCGATTCGACGGTATTGGCGGCAATCGGTCGAGTCGACTCGACAATATCGGCGATCGGTCGTCGAATCGACAATATCGGCGATCGGTCGTCGAATCGATTCGACGGTATCGGCGATCTATCGAAAAATATTCACTGATTCGTTCTCTCAGGTATGTCTCATGTGCACTCGATGAAGCGTGTATGGGCACTCGACGACCTTATATTTACTGCGATTTCTATGGGAAAAATCGATTTAGGTTTGTTGAAAAGATAAAATTTGTTGGTATTGTTTAGAGGTATATATAAACGGCTGAAGTAAATGAATAATTTGCAGCGAATTCGCAAATTGTCATCGATTCGATCAGTCGATTTTGAATTTATTGTTGGCTAATTTATATTCGTATGATTATCGTTACTATTCATCCGGAATGGTTGACTTCTTTAATATCACTCGTGGTGTTTAATATTTTATCAACACTTCATCTAGCCATGCTGCCTACCTGATCATTACGTTCGTATTTGTATTATTTGTGTTATATGTTATTATTATCGTTGATATTACTAGTATTATTGGTTGTTTGTGGCTTGAAATGGGTCTTATTCGTGTTCGGTTGGTTACGGTATCTGGAGTTTTGGTATGTGGAGGGCAAACGATATGAATTTTTGATAGATTGCCATTAAGTGGAGTTTAATGATAATTGATTTGATTGACTCATTTAGTAAGTTTATATTTATTTATTTGAATCAAACAGAAAACAGCAATAATAATAACAATGATTAAGGTAATTAGAAACGTAACATTATTTAGTTATAATAAGACAAAACGAATAAGTAACTGATTAAGAGATAATGATTATATTCATTCATATGATTGAAAAGAGATCATTTTTAAATAAAAGTAATTTATAAAAGATTATTTCTGATTCATCAAGAGCAACTCAGAAAATGTGCATGGTAAAACAATTTTAACGATCGATAAAATAAGTGTTCAATGGGTAAGACTAGTGTTCAATGGTAGGCATTTGGAGAGTTAAGGTGTTGAGAGCGCTGATATATTTGGTATATGGAGTACTTCATCGAGCAGTTGTAGCGCTCTGAAACGTTAAGTTGATTTAACAGTTTATTACTGTTACTGTTAATGCTGTAAGTATTATTGTAATAGAGAGAGAGAGCTTACCGACTGATCTGTACCTCGATCCAACACGGAGTTTCTTTAATCGACTTACGATCATAATCAGGTCCCCAACCCTTGACAAAAGAAATGCCTAGATTGCATAGTCGTCGCAGGTCGTCAACACCGATATTGGCTGCCTGAATTGATAGTTTTAATGAGAAACTAGACTGTATGAATTGGTGGATGAGTGGAACGGCAATAAGATTGTGCCTGCCAGTCGATCTGATATGTGGAACTAACATTTAATATAGGCACTTTTTTACTTTGGAGGAGGGGGGGGGGGGGGGGGATCGCACGCGAGCAAGCTACACCGAAGCCACGTCTACTGCGCATGGCTTCAGCCTAAGCGTAGTCTCAGCCTAAGCCTAAGCCTAAGCCTGAGCTCGCTTGCTAGCCTCTGTTGTAGCATCGAGCGATCTGAGGCTACGCTTAGATGAGGCTGAGGTCACCTTAGGCTGAGGCCATGTGCAGTAGGCGGCGTGGCATGCGCGAGCTTGCGACTCGCCAAAGTAAAAAAGTGCCTTAATATAATAATAACAGTGGACATGCACAACAAACAATACAGAAACAGAAACAGTAACAAACAAACACCACGTAATAGTAAAGCAGCACTTACCTCGATTTCTCGTTTATGAAGAACCTTATGAAGTGAATGAAACGTTTGTGAATTCTTTTTGAAAATGGCTTGGTGACATAATGGCTAATGAAGTAAAGTGGCTTGCTAAATGAAATGATTTCAGAAATGGGTGCTCACTTGATCGATCTGCTCACGATTCATACCCACCAGAGGATTCCGCGAATTATCCGACGGATTCTGCAGAGCCTCAGCAGCCAGCATTTGATACATACTCTGCTGACGTAATTGCAGATAACACTGCCGTAAATCAAACACCTCAAGGAAATGGAAATTAATTAGGTTAATTTAGTGATATAGTAATGTTAGGAGTTATAAAAACCTTAAGTGAAGCTCGTGAGTAGACTTTATGAACAGCGTCACCAGGCGCACGACCTGCCTCACGATCCAAATAATTGCTATGAACAAACACGGGCATATTGGATAGGCAAGTAAGCCAGACATCACCTTCACCCTTCACATCGAGACGTATCCCTTTACCGATATATTGCCTTGAATAATTTAATTAAGATTTTTGCTTTTAAGATTCGTTTTTTTTTAAGCTTTAAGTTTAATTATTCTTTTAAGAGTTTCGAGAAACAATTGAATAATTATTTTAAGATTTATTTTAGCAGAAAGAAATGAATATGCAGCATATTCATTTAATTGATATTCAGCAGCAACTGCGATGATTACATTCATAAGAATGATGATAATTTGAAGTAATGAAAAATGAAATAAAATCTGACCGGCAACGTTCCGAAACATCAGAACGTTGAACATTCGAGAGTGAACCCAAGCAGAATCGACCCGGTGCCGACGGGTCAACACCGCCATCCACATAGACCGATGGTCGACTGACGGCATAGGTCTCACCCACTTTTGTATCGTATTCATAATAGGATATCATACACCAGTTGGCTGGTCCTTAATTTTATAATTACGATTGATTATTGACGCGTTGTTGAGTGGCGATATGAAGATTGTTTTGGGGGATTCAAACTGATTTCAAATGGGTTAGTTTTGTGGAGTGTAAAACTCTTTACGGTTAGCTTGAACTCTGTTTTGAGTGGAAAATAATCGAGGGATAGATGGTTTTGATGATGGATGGTTTTGATGTAGTGATAATAGTAGATAAGATTGTTTGGGATAAATAAGCCCAGAATTTGATATTTCTCTACTTACTGGGCTGAGATGAGATTAGATCAGCATCAGATGAAACGGGCGAACCTGCTACTGCTGCTGTGGCTACTGTAACTGGTGTATTGCCTACGCCGCTGATATCACCTCGTGCTTGTAAGTTATCTGCTAGAATTTCATTTTATCATCAATATCTATTTCAATAATAATAATAATAATAATAATAATAATTGTAAGCACTGA